AAAAAAGAAAACGTCCGGATTTATTCAACAACAGGCAGTTTGAAGAAATTCAACGAAACGAAGGACCAACGGGCGTAGCTCAGTTGGTACACAAACGAACCGACGGGGCCCAAAGAAAGACCCACTACAGTAGCAGCGTTGAGTTTCGTCAACGCCTGAATCTGTCTGGTCGAGTTTGAGTGATATCTGCAGAAATGGCGTTGAGTTTGCTTAACCGCACATCTCCACAAACACGTCCAGATTCGGGAGTTGAGGAAACTCAACGCTGCTAGTGGGACTTGTGGCCCTAAAGTTGGAGTCCAGATCGAACTAGATGAATGATATATCAAACACAAAACAAAAAAGTTCAACGAAAGCGTAATAAACAAGGGAAAAAAAAAACGAAAACACCAAAAAGAGATTCAACGATGGAGTAATCGGTTTAGGAAGAGTGAAAGTACGATTTTCTTTTTCTAGGGCCTTCCTTGAACATTCCACAGTGGGTTTCTTTTTTTTTTCTTTTTTTTTTTTAATGAAAATATTCGTATCATTTCTAGCCTGGAAACGGGCCCTTCCACCATGATGGGTTTCCTATTCCCTAGATAGTGCAATGAGATCAAATTCAAATTCAAATTCAAAAAAAAAAAAAAAAAAAAAAAAGAGATCAAATTCAGCCTTAGACACTGGGTCCGTTCGTCTTTAACAAAAAAAAAAAAAAAGCAGAACGAGACGCTAAATTGGATAGATCTCAATACTTTATGGTCGTCCGAAGGGGGTTCGTCTTTTTCTCTCCTTTTTCTTCTTCACTTTTCTTCGGTTTATTTCCCCGTGTCATTTTCTCTTTATTTCCTTCCTCCCCCCTCCTCCCCTCCCCCCACGTATCTTCGCCAGAAAAAAAAAAAGCTGCATCTCTCGTTCATCTCTCGTCATATGTCGGCCCCATTTTGACACAGTGGCGTCCATGCGTAGTTGGCGGAGCGGCAGGGGAATTTGGGCGAGCTGCACACTCGACATGTCTCTACGACGTTCATACTCCGTCTGATCTATACCCTCCCTAACCCCTCCCCCCTCCCCCTACCCTCTACCCCCTTCTCCCGGCCCCCTTCCTTTCTGTGCCAGAAACAGCTGCATCTCTCGTCCCGCTCTCGTCAACGTCGGCCTCCTAGACCCTCCGTGTGATCATCACCCCCCCTTGTGACGAAGATGGAGATCTGGAGGAGCGGCACAGTCGGCATGTCTCTGAACGACGTCCACCCTCCGTGTGATCATTACCCTCCCCCTCCCCCCCCCCAACTGGCCCTTTGATTTCTGATGAGTCCGATTAGAGACACATGCCTGGTCGTCTCCCTCTCTCCAACCTGTATTCCTTGCCCTTCCTCCGATTAGGTGATTGATGATGACGATGATGATGATGATGAGGCACCGAGTGCTAATTAGTAGCTTGACGACTGGCAAGCCACGTGTCTAGCGGGGGCGTCTGCGCTGGCTGCGCCTTCTCCCAGGAGCTCGACATAACTTGCGCGCCATAACGCTCTCCCGTTACCTCCTGTACGGGCACGGCGGCTTCCATCTCCTCCATCTCTTCTTTGGAGAGGGCAATGGCCACTGATCGGATGTTGTCTTCCATGTGGCCGATTTTGGTGGTCCCGGCGATCGGAAAGACGTCGTTCCCGCGGTGATGCACCCATGCGAGCGCCAGCTGGCCTGGCTTGACGCCCTTCGCGTCCGCCATGGCTTTGAGCCTCTCGTAGAAGACTCTGTTCTTGTCCGCCTGCTGAAACCTGGGGTCGCTGTGCCGGAGGTCGTTCTTCCACAGCTTGTCCAGTTTTTCCTCCATCGCATGGCCAGAGAAGAAGCCGCAACCGAGCGCTCTGTACGCCACGATCCCGATGCCCAGCTCCCGACAGACGGGTACAATCTCCGGCTCCACCCCGCGCTCCCACAGCGACCACTCCAGCTGCACTGCCGTGATCGGATGAACGGCGTGCGCGCGGCGGATGGTCTCCGCCGTGGCCTCCGACAGCCCCAGGTACTTCACTTTCCCCTCCTCCACCAGCTTCTTCAGCTCCCCCATCGTCACCTCGATCGGGACCGTCGGATCGATGCGGTGCGCGTAGTACAGGTCGATGTAGTCAGTCTGCAAGCGCTTGAGCGAAGCCTCCGCCGCTGCGCGCACATACTCCGGGGAGCCGTTCACCACCACCCCCTTGTCGGGATCGAACATCATCCCGAACTTGGTAGCGATCTCGACTTTGTCCCGGATCGGAGACAGCGCCTTTCCCAGCAGAAGCTCGTTCGTGTACGGTCCGTACAACTCCGCCGTGTCAAAGAACGTCAGCCCGAGGTCGACAGCATGACGGATCAGCTTCACCATCTCCTCCTCGGGCCGCGGCTCCCCATAGAACCCGGTTAAACCCGCGCACCCCAACCCTTGTGCTGACGTCATCATGCCCTGCGAGCCAAGGGCTCGGCGCGGAATGACAGGAAGGCTGGCCTCTTCCATAATGACCACACCGACCTGCAACTCACCTCCGCACCCTGAGCAACCCTTTGCCCAGCCGGCTTCTCCTTATATCCCCTTTTAGAGCCAATGCCTTCTCAGCATGCCACGTGTCGATATGGCCTCGCTTCCCTCCTTTCCGAGTCTCCCCCTCCTCCGCGCCCAACCCACCCCAGCCTCTCTCCGCAGGGTGACCCCTAGACGAAAACTACAAGAAACAGAATGCCCCTAGCGCTCAGCGTTGTTGACACGTAAGCACCTGCAGGCTCTTCTCCCCAGCAAGCCACGTGTCGCCCAAGGAGGTCGTCCGCTGGCCCCCTCCGCCCCTCACCCCCCTCCACTCTCTCCCTTGTGCAGGGTAAACTCCACAAACGAGAGTAACGAACGCCTGAATGCCCCCCAGCGTTTACGTTATTGACACGCGAGCTCTGGCACACCTTCTTGACCCCTGTAAGCCACGTGTCGCCCAACGAGGCCGTCATCAGTCCCCCCCTCCCCTAACCGCCCCCCTCTCTCTCTGTAGGGTGAACTCTACAGACGGGAAGAGCTAGCGCCTCATTGCCCCCCAGCTTCAGCGCTTTTGACATGTAAGCTCCTGCAGCTGTTTGTTCCTAAGGTGCCACGAGTCGCCCGAGCCCCATCTCCATTCCCCCCCCTCCGCAGCCCTCCGCAGGGTGAGCCGCGGAGATAACACCAACACACGCCTGTGCGACCTCAGCGTTCGATCGTCTAACTTAAAGCTCGACAACACACTCTCACAAGATGTACGTTACACATACCTCCGTCAACATGTCCTGATTCAGGACTGCGATCCAACATGTCCTGATTCAGGACTGCGATCCAACATGTCCTGACCCAGGACTGCGATCCGATCCTCTCAGCGCGTGGGACCTCGCCCCTTCAGACAAGCCCCGGAGCGCCTGATGCGCCGACACAACCATAGCCGGCACAAAAGAAAAAACCAAAAAAAGACAAAACAAAGAAAATAGGAAAACAAAACAGTGATTCCCTATTCATACAGACTTTTTTTTTTTTTTTTTTGGAAGAAGCATCATATATTGCTGAAGGAACATAGAGGCCGGGAAACCTCAACAGACAACCCCCGGAAGGATACTGCGGCCATTACCCAGATTAGGCTACTGCTGCGGGAGGGAGATCCCACTTGCAAAGAGGATTGGATTAACCGCCTGAATCTGGACGTGTTCTACACAGAGATGCATAACAGCAGATCTATCGTGAGTTTGTGCACCTCTCCGCAAACACGTCCAGATTCAGACCTTCAAGCCAATCCTGTTTGCCAGTGTGACGGGTGTGGGACGGGTGTGGGACAGGTGGGTGGCAGCGTGAAATAGGGAACATAAACGTGAAAAACCATTTCATGACCCAACAAATGAAGAAAAAAAACCCAAGAGCCTAGCTCAGTGGGTATACCCATGAACTGTTGAAATACAGACCTGTGTTCGAATCCAGATGATGGAACTTCATGAGTAAAACCAACTACTGATGAATTGCCTAATGCCGGTCAGCTCAATGATAATATCTCAAGGCCGTCGCCCTTTAAAAAAAAAAAAAAAAAAAAAAAAAAAAAAAAGAAGAAAAAAAAAAAAAAAAAAAGAAAGTGCTCTTCTCACACTGTCAGATGGTGTCCGCTCCAGGCGGGGTGTCAGATGTCAGGGTATGAATCACTGACCACGGCTGCGGCAGTCAAGACGACTGCATGTGAGTGGGCACACGGACCATATTCATTGACAATAGTCTGAGGGCCATATTCTT